CTTAATATTACTGGGCGATTTCAACGCTAGGGTGGGTGCTGATCATGACTCCTGGCCTTTATGTCTCGGCAAGTCTGGCATTTGGTAGATGAACGAAAACCGGCAACGTCTACTAGAAATGTGATCGTACCACAACCTCAGCATCACGAATTCATTTTTTCAGACAAAACCACAGCACAAAGTGTCTTGGATGCATCCCCCATCCAAACACTGGTATCAGCTGTACTTGATCATCACAAGACGTTCAGCCATGAAGGGTGTGCAGCTTACTTGTGCATTCCACAGCGCTTACTGCGACAACGATCACTCACTAGTTTGCTGTAAAATTAAGCTTCAATCAAAGAAGGTCCACCACTCTGGGCAAGTGGGTCAACCACACATTGATGTGAGAAAGACGTCATATACAGACAAGGCTGAAGAATTAACTTACGCCATCTCCAAGGCGTTCAGTTCAGAACCTCAATACGGCAGTGCCAAAGAGAGATGGGACAACATCAGAGATACTGTGTATAGCACAGCCACAATAGTTTTTGGTAAGAAGCAGACAAAGAAGAACGACTGGTTTGACGCCAACTCCGCCACACTCATGCCAGCAATAGAAAAGCGTCGCAGTGCCCACCTGGAATACAAGCGTTCACCCTGCCAGAGGACACTACATGCATACAGGTCTACCAGAAGCAAAGTGCAGAGGTTAGCACGGCAATGCGCCAATAAATACTGGCTTCTGCTTTGTCAGAGCATCAAGTCAGCAGTAGTCAACGGAAACATCAAAGACATGCACAATGGCATAAAGAAAGCAATGGGTTCAACAAAGAAAGTGATAGCTCCACTGAAGTCTTCTGCAGGCGATATCATTCACGACAAGGGCAAGCAGATGGAGCGCTGGGCGGAGTACTACTCCGAACTGTATTCCAGAAAGAACAACGTGACCAACGATGCCCTCAGCGCCATTGAAAACCTCCCTTGTATGACCAAACTGGACGAGAAACCTACTGCGATAGAACGAAAGTTTGCCTTAGAGAAACTGATCACAGGTAAAGCCCCAGCGAACGATGGCATCCCAGCAGAAGTGATCAAGTGCGGCGGCAGTGTGCTGTTCACACACCTTTATGAACATTTCTGCCAGTGCTGATATGAAGGTGCAGTGCCTCAGGACATGAGAGATGCCAACATCATAATCATGTACAAGAACAAGGGCAACAGAAGAGACTGCAACAACTACAGGAGCATATCACTTCTCAGCATCATGGATAAAATCTTTGATGGAGTCATCCTGAACAGACTGCAGACGCTTGCTGACAGAGTGTATCCAGAGTCTCAGTGCGGGTTCCGCACAGAGGTCCACACTTGACATGATCTTCTCCATCAGGCAACTGCAGGAGAAGTGTAGAGAACAACACAGACCCCTCTTCCTGGATTTTATAGACCTCACCAAAGCATTCGATCTAGTCAGCAGAGACGAACTCTTCAAAATCCTGACGAAGATTGGATGCCCTCCAAAGCTGTTAAGCATGGTCCAGTCCTTCCATGACAACATGAAAGGCGCAGTGTAGTATGATGGTTCATCGTCCGACCCATTTCTTAATGCATTTTACCCATCTAAATCATGTATCACATTCGCGCTACACATCGTAATATTTATTGGTTCATAAAACTTCATGTTCATCTTAAGGTTTTACAATATTATAATTTTTACATAGTTTTTTTTCATGAAATTAAAACAGATCTTCACGTATATCATAAATGAAAATATATTCCAACAACACAAAATCCAATGCATATATAAAACAAATGTTACTAAGTAGAATATTTGATGTGTTGGTTATTTATAAACCTCATTGCCCTGAAGAAGCTTGAAAAAGTTCAAATTGTTTGGTTCCTTGATTCCTCCACTCCCGCGACTACCAAGTTTACTCACAGCGGAAGATTAAGAGCTTGACTAGATGCAAAAACTACGTACTGCCAAAATTGAAGATTGAAATTGGAAGTGGTTTTGTGAGCATGAGCAAATTGCACGTTTTGCAAAATAGACGTTTACATACTTGTACAATATATTTTAATTTGTTGAAATTTCAATTAAGTCATGTTTTTGTTATGCGTATTTAATTTGCGTTCCTTCTTAGTTTTTTTTTTTAATAATTTTATTTTATTTCATATGCCATTGTAAAGTGTTATGTATATTTAATTAAACTGTTTGTCTGTTAGTTTTAATTTTTTTAAAAATTCCATTTCGTGCTATTGTAATGCAACTTTGTTTACTGAATTTGATATTGTCCAGAACTGTTTTTAGTACTGTTTGACCTGACTGAATTTTTTTATTGATAAACACCTAATAATAGAAACACTATCTATTTTCTGTTCTTGATTCAGAACAAGTAACAGCTTTGATAAACAATTTTTTAAAACGTATTTTCATTCTTTCTCAGAGTAAGAATCATTATGTTAAGTCAAGGCTATACCTGGAGTACGTGATATGAAACATGTTTATTGTTACAAACTTCTACTTTTTCTAGAAGATTGACCCTCATACGGGAATCTATTTTGCGTCTTAAATTAGTGTACAATTCTTGTTTTTATAGAAGATTGGCAGTCGTCTTAAACCACTTAAGATCTCAAGTTATATTATGTTGTGACCAGTTTGAATTAAAATTTTATGTTACTGAATTTCAAGTGATTCTTTTCCTGAAAACAGCGATCATTACAGGAAGTAGCCCATTTCTACCACGGGCTAAATAACGTAATGAAACTAATTTTACAGGATAAAATGTTTAACTTAGTTTCATTTCAGATTGCATCATTTCATGATTTTTGTGTAAATTTCCAGAACGGAAATATGTAATTAAAGTTCTGATAGTACAAATAATGGTTGATGACGTCATCACATTCAAATAGTAGAGCCTAGTTTTCAAAGAGAACAGATTCTGCGCCGTGTTCGGAACGATTATTTGCTGCAGGGTAGAAACTAGTAGAAATGTACTACTTCCTGTAATGATCGCTGTTTTCAGGGTTTGTGACCGTATTACTGAAAATAAAGCTTAATTCGCCGGATTTGATTCATGCGTGATGCGTTGGCACGTTACTGTTTTTTTTTTTTTTAAATGGATATGTGTAGTTTTTCAGTCTTCTGAAAGAATAAAAGACGCGTGAGAAAAGTCGAATCGAGCGGAGGGTTGTGGTCCGTTTGCATTCCTTGTGCTAATTTATAATACTGTTAAGGTGATTTCTTGTAAGAAATTTCGTCATGTTTTATTGATAAAACTGCAGACTCCAGTGATCTATGCTACTGGGATTTCCATGGTGTACCTGACATAGTGCACGTCCACCGCCCCGTCAGCACCAACCCATCCTTTTCCCAGTAGCACGCTACTGCCATTGAGATGTGCAAGCGATAATAAACAAAAACATTTACATCGATAAAGGCATTTCAAAAGAATATATTTTATAATTAAAAAGTGATGCAAAAAGAAATAGATGATCCATCTTTTCGGGAAACACACAAACACATACATACATACATACATACATACATACATACATACATACATACATACATACAGATATATATATATATATATATATATATATATATATATATATATATATATATATATATATATATATATATCAGTCTCTAAGAAGTGTCGCTGTCCTTGGCACCTTTTGGCACCTTAGTAAAACTTACTAATTTTGTTAAATCAATTCATGCATTATTTGCCAATTCATTTTTGAAATAATTTTTCTAATGTAGGATTAATACTTTAATATCTTGATGGTAAAAAATTACATTGATCCAGAGCAAAACATGCCAGAAAAGAAAGTCTGCTCATTTAGTTTATTTATTCGTTTATATTTTTGTTATGATAGCAAATTTCTGTCTCCAATATGAAGCCATATTTAAAGTTGTGTCACTCGCCATGTACATTTATAATCTTAGTTGTGAAAATTTGATCCCGACGCCGTTAGTCAATATTTATTGCAACAATATAATTTAAACAATTTCTATGTTTTAAAATACTTCAGTTATAATTTGATGATACACCTCTAAATCTGGTCGGTGCTCGTCTATAATTTTCCAGTGTAAGACAAGTTAAATAGTTCTCAAAATTTAAATTGGCAAAACTAACGGCCCCTTACAACATAAAACTTTACTCAACATTTCCACGAATACACTAGACTTGAAAAGTGACTCGAAGACACAAATATAGCCTTCTGAATGGCCAACGATTTTGAGTAAGATTTTGGAGTTAAAATAACAACTATTAATGAAATTTAGTTCATTTTAACATAATGTGTGCTTGTGTGATAATCTATCTATCTATCTATCTATCTATCTATCTATCTATCTATCTATCTATCTATCTATCTATCTATCTATCTATCTATCTATCTATATATATATATATATATATATATATATATATATATATATATATATATATATATATATATATATATATATATATATATTTATAAGCTGTGAAAATATAAGAATTAATTAATCATGAGAACACAAACCAGCACGAAAATGTTTATTTCTTCGCACTTATTATGCGGAAATCATAAATTGGTATTTGAACTTTTTTTAAATTTAAATTAGGAATATGACAATTATCTTCACTCCATTAAAATACAGTTGCAATATGCAATGCAAAGATTATGTGAAAATACGCGCAGTGATAAATATGGTGGACATGGAGGTCGAATATCAAATTAAAGTGTGTCCATTGTATGTCAGATTCGGCAAGAATTATAATGAAAAAAAAAAAACAGCACGTATATAAATTGACACAATGGACGTCAATGAAACTATATATCACATAAACTTAATTGGATGCATTAGTATAAGAAAATTTGTTCACTATGCTTTTGATATTATGAATATTTTTTTGCATAATACCAGATATTTAAGCAGTTCAATTATTGCGAAGAATTACGTTTATTATTTTAACTCTTTCTCGTTTCTTTTTCAAATGTAATATAACAATATTTTAATAATAACCGTTTCGTTGGCCCAAAATGGTTAGAGCGTCCGTTTCGGATGCGAGAGGTCATGGGTTCGATTCCCGGTCGAGTCATGCCAAAGACTTGCAAAAAATGGTTCTAACAGCTGCCTCGCTTGGTCGGCCTGGTGTCATGATAATGTTACTGAGTGGGACATCATGCTACATGTCTGCGGCAAGATACACAATGCTAGACATCAATATAAACTGCCACACTACAAACATTGTAGCGATATGACTAAAATAACATCACATAATAACATCAATAATATTTATTTATACACTAGAATCATCAGTTAAAATAGGATTAATTTTATATGCAAAAATGCTTTTATGGGCATCTTGATTATCCTTTATACTAACTGCATGAAATAGAAAAAAAAAATCCTTTTTCTAGTGCAATAATTTCATGTCCCTTAAAGATAATTTATACTATTGCGTATGTAGAGCAAGTATTACTTGACTAATTTGTTTTTCTAACATTGTCGCTTTATCACATCGACACTGTACTCAGCAGTCCATTAACTCTGCAGTCTAAAATTGTAAATAAAGATTTTGAATTCGAATCTATACTCAACTGGCATGTACTGTAAGATCTCCTTTTAACAAGGTAGCTAGATATCAAATACCAAATTGTATTACGGTACACTCGTACCTAAAAGTTCCTCACCATTAGAGCCTCTCACAACAATTGTGCCTTTTCTTTGCCCGCATATCACTACATCCGCTAGCACGAGCTCAAAAGATACCGAAGTTTCAGTCTATGAGGGCTGAAGCAGGCGTAGTCAATCTCAATTGCGGAGACCCTTGCGGTTGAAGTGCTCTCCAGCCACATTCAGCGATACTCAGAGATATGTTCAAGAATTATGTAACGTGCAAGATTGATATACTGGTATAATTTTCAGTGAACTTGCATTATTGATAGGTTAATATAATTTCAAAATTGAAGAGTTCTAGACGCTGATTCAGCAATCATCAAACCAGATGAAAGGCCTTTGATTACAAAATGAAATGTGATATAATACGTGCTGTTGGCAGTTAATCGGACGTTTTCTTCCACGAATATTTTTTTTTTAAATTGAAAATTATTAAACTATTTTGGCCCAGTCTTACAGTTTGTTATAGTCTAACCCTCTAAAAAAAATTCCAAATGATGTTCAATTTATGCGAATTTAAATAAATAAATAAATAAATAAATAAATAAATAAATAAATAAATAAATAAATAACTCGTTGTAATCGCTTATATCGATTGCCAAATCAATGAAGAATTTTAAATTAAAATTCTGTATCTTTTTTTTGTGCATAAAACCAGGCTACTATGTTATTGAAGAAAGGAAAATAAAAGTCGATCATAGACGGATGTCTTTGCAAATATTAAAAATATTACACGTTTATGTGTTTGCTTTTTTTTCAAAAGCCAAATAGCTAATTGCATAGGTATTTGGATCACGAGAAAAAACGACTTACAGACTGGCAAACTTAAATATGTATTATTTCGCCTAAAATAGCAGATTGAAATAGAGGCTTTAAAAATTATGTTTTTGTTTGCAAAAATGTACTCCAGAGTAAAGTAAAAAAAAGTAGGAAGATGGGATTCAGAGAATACCTGAATTGTTAGGAAGATAAGATAATATGTAAATAAGATTTGCGATATCCATAAATTATCATCACCACGTACGCCTATGCAAGAAATGAGAACACATCGAGAAAGTCTATCCAGACGACCTAGTCATGTATCGAACGAACCTGCGAGCCATGGATTCTAACGCGGAGAGAGAGAGAGAGAGAGATGACAAAAAATGTGAACTGACCAAAGTTTTACTATCTCGAAATCGTTTTATCTGACCAGTGTTCAAAATGAATCAGAAATTGAGGATTATGCACACACGTGTAGAATATTTCAGAAACCATTCAAATTATTTATGAAGAATGCGAATTAATTAGAATGCTTGCCTTTACATTTAAATTTTCGTCCATGGGATTCTAGAAGAGAAAAGGCACCGCAGCTGAGACTGTTGCCCGTGGCTGCATCATCAACAAGAATGGTGCAGTACCGTAGTGAACACATCTTGAGCCCAACTCGCACAGTTCTACCATTTAATAACCAGAAAACATGGGGAATAAATCTGAAATGGGAATTCAAAAAAATAAAGAGCTTAACCCCTCGGATCGGAATGAGAAAATCATTTTGAGATGAAATTTATTACAATACTATATATATATATATATATATATATATATATATATATATATATATATATATATATATATATATATATATATATATATATATATATATATATATATATATATATATATATATATATATATATATATATATATATATAAACTTGTACCATTCATGTTATTAAATGTGCCCTTCGGTGTAATTTTACATAACAATCTCAAGAAACCTAAACTTTAAATCGCCGTGTGTTTTCCAAAAGCAATGTTAATTTAAAGAAAAAGTAAGCAAAATATTGTAGTGCACTGATAATTGCACAGATAAAATTAAAATGAAATATCAATGTTTTAGGTTGTAGAGTTATGTTGCGTTTAAAATTATTCACAGCTGATTGGAGGGCAAAATGATAACTTCATTACATTAATTTAGCTTCTTTTTCGTTGTTGTTTTTGTTTTTGTCGTTTTCATTTATGTTATGATGGACATAATATATTCAATGTCTTAAGGAACGATGGACTGGGTTTTGTTTTAATTATTTGCAAATGTATTATTTAGAGAAGAACAAAATAAAAATGAAACAGTTTTTTAAAGGGATGAATACGACATTACCGTTCTGCAGCGGAAAAGATGGTGTGTCCGTTACGGCCAACAGAAGTCAGGGGTCGCCAGTTAGAGAGTTGGGGTCAGGCATTCTTAGACTGGCCCAGGGGCCATTGGTTTGTTGACTATAATCATGACTCCAATTAGCGGGATAATGGAAGACCGATCTATACTAGCTGTCAACAGCAATACACATAAGATCCATCCAGTACACATGTTATATTGCCTTCATGCGTCTTAAAGCGCATGTTTATTACCATCATTTATTGTTTAAATCTTTGATTCCGCTCTTAAATACTGTAATCTTTAGATTGGAATTAACACTTCTTTTTTTTTTCTTAAAAAGTAAACTGCAACAACAACGTGGTTGATAAATTAATTTTAAATAACAATGGATGGCGACTGAATAGTTGGGCGTCAAGAAATGGTTCTCACCCATGTTATTATTAGTCAGTATGAAAATGTAACATACGCTTCACGAACGTCATCTTCGCTAGCCAAGGTTCCAACAAGTCAACCTATCTACGATAGATAACATATTGGAACCCTGGCTAACGAAGAAGCAACAAAGTGAGTAAAGGATCTTGTGTAGTGCTATGTAGAAATACATCTCTGACACAAATTGACGGACAAAAACCTGAAATTATTTAAAACTGCAAATATGAGCAATTAAATCGTAATATTGAAGTATAACATACTATTTGCCAGACCACAACAATGTCGAAATATGAACGCAAGTTTATCATGCAATATAAATATAAAAATGAGATCCACTGTCAGGTAGGACAGTAAAAAATCTGATTTTTTTCCCTCAGAAATTGATAGCCGTATATTTTATAATTCTCTCACCTTTTATAAAAAAAATATCCACTTTAATTATATATCATTTTATATAATTTGATCTCACTTTAATCATGCCTCCCAAAAATACAAAATCGTTTGGAACTGCCTCTTTCGTGGCAGCATTGTTGTAAAAGTGGTTTTAAAATATATCTAACATCGAGCTATAAGCAAATGGATATAATTTAACATTTGGTGTTGTTGAATGTTACTCAGTACAGTTTAATAGAAAGATGTTGCTTTGGTGTTATTTTGTGCTGTTTATATAAAAATATTGTTTTTATGTTATTTAGTACTGTTTATAGACAAATATTGACAAATATATTTTTTTTTAAAATGAAATTATCAAAATGCATTAGCACATATATCTTTCAAATATGGTATCTTCTATTTGCGAAGTACATTTTTTAAAGGTACTGTATACTGCAACTTAATATATCATAAATAGAATAAAAACAATACCGACGATAGCTATTGTTCTGAAGCTTTGCAACTTTATGGTCATTTGAAACCACTTTAAAAACATTCTCTAATTAACTCTTCAAATTGGGATTTTACATTATCCTCTTTACACATAATATGTCTGAAAATATTTGAAACTATCAAAAAGTCAAAATATAAGAAACAATGATAAATAAGTCGTAAGTTGCAAAATTGTCTTCTGCTTTCGTCATCGTCGTCCTCCTCTTTTTTATTTTTCTTTCAATAATAATAATAATAATAATAATAATAATAATAATAATAATAATAATAATAATAATAATAATAATAATAATAATAATAATAATAATAGTTTTATTATTATTATTATTATTATTATTATTATTATTATTATTATTATTATTATTATTATTATTATTATTATTATTATTATTATTATTATTATTATTAAATAATCTTTAAAATCCAATATTGTTTCTGATAAACATGAATCATTGTACAACAATTACATATATTATTTTAATTTTCCATGCGTGCTAGGTAGTCAGTAAAAGTTTATTATTATTGCAAATACAGCAAGAAGACGGACAATATTAAAATATTTTCAAACTGCTTTAATTGTAAAGAAGACAATTTAAGATGTCGAGTGGAAGTGGGGACAGATTACATACATCCTAGATTCCATAACATCATCCTGATCTCTTTGGATTATTGTGGTTATGTTTCTTCTTAATTATGGCATATACAATTCTGAAATGGGTATAACATTTCAGTTGATTTTTTTTTAAATTCCTTACCAGTGCTTTTTTCTTGTTAAAGTTAGAACATCTAGATTGATTGCGAATAAAAGTATCGTTTTAGTGTCCCGTTAATAACTCATTAATGGAATTTGAATTAAAAACTACGATAAACGCAATGGATAATGTCATCATTATTTTTGTTTAATACAAACAGGAGAGATAAACACATTTAACCAGAAGATGACAGAAGTAATAATTTCTTCCAAG